GTCGGAAGTAAATATCCATTGATTTTTATCTTCCTTATTTTATAAGCGTTTGTTTTCATAAAATTTGGGATTCAAGGTTAACTTTTGCAAGTGTTTGAAACCTTAACTATAAATGCTAAAGTTATTAGAAGCAGCAGGTCATGCAGAAAGAAGCTACCAGAAGGATTTGTGTACTGTTTAAGAATCCACAGTACTAAAACCCATTTAAATTTACTTCTAAGGCAAGGTACATTTGGAAATTGAAAATAAGTTTGACAGTGAAGATGCATCTGAGCTTCATCATGTTTCTCTTTAAAATGATGCTTACTAACATTTTTAGGGGTGACATTGGTTTAGAAAAATAGTTATTTCTCGAGAGAATGATATTACAGTCACAGCAGTAGTAATAGTGAGGGTGGCCTGATTCACAGCGTCATTTCATTTCCTCGGTATCTGAGGGAAAAGTTAAAACAGCATGGTAATTACGCCCCTAGACTGATGGACATATTAAGACCAGAACAGTTATGCCTACTGGTCTCGAAGATTCCAGAATCTGTCTTTGGAAACGCTAGTTTTAAACATGCTTTACTGACACTGTGCCTCTCTGCATAGCTGATTGCTTTTTAAGATTCTCGTGTAACTTCTTGAATTTCTCATATTAACATCTCAAAACTAGAATATTCCATCTGGAGCTACAGCACGTCCTTCTGACCTTCAATAATAATGTTTTCAGAATTGTTTACTTTCAGCTAATTTTTAAATGAAAAAATATAATGACAGGCAACGTAACGTGCCTTTTCTGCAAATACATTCTTTCATGTAGAAGAATTTTGACCTAAAAACACAGCGCAGTGTCGGTGAGTTCGTAGGCATTACTTATTTGGACCATGAAACTCTTATCTGAACTCTGTTATTCCATGAACAGTGTATTGTTGTTCAAGTTTAGCATACAGGTGGAAATACTGGAGTAGTTCAAAGCAGTTTAGAGCTAAACTGAGCATAAGTAAAGAGCTCACTTGCAGTGCTAATTGCTTGATTTCATTTTCCTTTTAGATTATGTTGACTGTTTTTAAAAAATCTGTGTTGTAATATTATGTATAAAGTATATTTTTATATAATATGTAATTTTACTGAAAATACATAACGTTTATAATCCTAACGACAGGTCCCAAAGACAGACTTTACTAGAAGATATTCAAACATAGGCGTGACAGAGAAGTAGGAGCTCAGCAGCTCTTGGAGAGGAACCCACGTTTCCTGGCCCTTTTTTCCTGATGTCATTAGGGTTAATTATGATACAGAAGTATTTTTGTGTGTGTTAACGATCAATTTTATTTAGCTTTTAAATGAGATGATATTATCAAAAAGAAAGCTTGGGGTATTTAGTTTAATTTAATTTATGAATCTCTCCTGAAAAAACCCATTCTGAAATCCCATTTCTGACATCATCCACCTGCATGCTTGGCTTTGGGCAAGATTGCTTTACTAGATACTGTCTTCAGTTTAGTAAGGAATTGTGGTCAAGATTTTCCTGAATTTTATTTTTAAAGTCTTTTTAAAATTATAGACATAGTATATTTTTTATTTTAGTCATTTTAATTTCATTGCAAAAATCCCAGATTGCTAAAATGGAGTCGGTGCTTCTTACTAAAGTGACAGAGACGTTCTAGCTGATCTTTGGATACTAGTGATGCCAGGGCCGTGAGCTCTTGCACGTGGGGTGTGTGTCTTTCTGTGTGCTTGTGGACATGCAGTTTTTTCTATAAAGGTTAGACTTGCTGTTTGTCCAGTCATGTTATCTGGAAGGGCCATCAGGCTAACTAAGTGAACTATGTATACTTCTGTTTAAAAATGTTTTATTATTTCCTCACTGCTCCCCTCCCTCCCATTTCCTCAGACTTCTCTCCCACCACTCCTTAAAGAACTTAAGGCAGATTTATCACCTCTGATCGCTCATTTGCATGTTTGTTTCTTAGACTAACCGTTCTTTCTAGAACATTTCCCAAATAAATTCTTCATAATAGTGTTTGTGGGGTTTTGTTTTGTTTTGGTTTTATTTTGGCAGAAGAATGAATTTCGTGGCACTGATTTTTTTACTTCCTTTTGCCAATCTTTGGCCAAAGAAAAAGAGCAGAGATGGTGTTCACTACTTTCTTATCAACCAACTACATATGGCCCCTCCCGCGCATACTGGGAACCTACCAGGTTTAAACAGAACCAGCCATGTGTGTCTGGAAACTCAGAGACACATAAACAGAAACGTTCAGACGTACATGAAGCTGACCGTACATCCAATACAGATTTAGATTTTACAAGACTCTAAATCAGGAACGCGGTTGACATCATTTCTATCCAAGAGAATCAGATTGATGACATTTAAGTTGTGTATGTTAAATGAAAACTATTACGTATTTAAGTGTGTGAATGTGTGAGTAAGTGAAGTGGGGAAGGAATATAACTCTTTATGTATATGTGTGTATGTATAGACATACGTGTATACAGAATTGGTTCACAAAGCTGTGCAGTGGGTGAGGTGGAGACCCAGGGAGCTGGTGGTATACGCCCCAGTCCAGAAGCCGGCCGGCCCCAGACCCTAGTCTCCGTTCGAGTCAGTAAACTGCAAAATACAGTGTCCTGGCTCAGGACCGTCAGGCAAAGGAGTCCCTGTCACCTGTGGAAGGAGCAGCCTTCTTGTTCTATCCAGGTTTGCACTGACCGGATGAGACCTGTCCAACTAGGGAGGGCCATCTGCTGACTCAGTTCAATACTCAGTTCAATTCAAGTGTTAACTCCGTCAACAATCAGAGTGTTAATTTCATCCAAAACACCCTCACAGACACACCCAGAATAGTAATAAAAATAAAAGTCATAATAATAATAATAATAATAATAATAATTATAATAATAATAATAATAATAATAAAAATATTTGGGCACGCTGTGGCCCAGCCAGCCAAGTTGACACATTCAGTTAAACAAGGCAAAAGGGGATGGCTGGAGCAGTCAGGGAAGGTTTTGAGGTTCGTTTCAGTGTGTGGCTTGGTCCGGCCTTGGCACATGGGCCTGTCCGGGCAGGAGGAGAATCCTGGGAAGCAACTCCCGGGAGCAGACGGGGGGCGGCACCACCACGCGGTGGCCGGCTCGTGGAGAGGAGGGCGCAGCGCAGAGTCCGGCAGAGGAGGAACAGTTGGACGGGGCGGAGCTGGGTTCTGGGGACCCAGGAAACAAGCAGGAGGATTATTCTGGAGATGGAACGTCCGTAAATGGGGAGCTGACATCATGGTGGTGAACCGCTGGGAAGGGTAACCCCACAGAGAAATCAGGTGTGCACTCATCCTCTTCAGCCCAGAGTGGCAGCTGCTCAGCTGGGCAGGGTTGCTGTGATTCAAAGACTGGCCTCGCTCTTGTAGCTTTTTAATGGAAGCATAGTTGATTCACAACATTGTGTTAGTTTCTGGTGTACAGCATGGTGATTCAGTTGTGTACGTATAAGTACATATTCTTCTTCTGATTCTTTTTCATTATAGGTTATTACAAGCCATTGAATATAGTTTTCTGTGCTGTACAGTAGGACCTTGTTGTTTACCTATTTTATACATAGTCATTTGGATCTGAACATCCAAAACTCCTAATTTATCCACCCTTCCACCCCCAGACATAGAAAACAAAATCATGGTCTTGCCTTTTGGGGGGAAATGCCTGTCCAGGCAATGGTGACAGCGTCTGACAAAGCAGAGCTGTGGGGGAGTGCAGGGTTTGGTGAGCCCCTCAGGGGCACACCCAGCCCAGGACACTTCCCCGAGAAGGTGGCGCATGAGGGAAGACAGGACGCACCCTGCGTTTGGACGTGCGTGGATTATGTTCAGAAGGGAGAGCGTGGCCGCGTGCGGGCACAGCGGTGGATGAGAGTAACTGAGAGGACGTGGAGTTCCAGGCTGGGGGCCCCGGCAGGCGTGCTGGGGAGATAGCATTTTAAAGGCCACTAGAAGCCATTGATGCATTTTGATTTGGG